GGTTTAAGACCAGGAAGCTGCCACAGCGAGATATTCCCTAACTAAGTATGACCTGGAGACTATCCAGCCCTGACCCCCCGCCGTGTCAGATGAAGAACCTGAGATCTAGAAAATGGCCTGATGTCCCGTATCCTGCCCATTGTGTCTCTGGAAAAGACAGGAGCCTAAAACACTAGTCAGAGCTGCCCAATAGAAGCCTGACCGCTTGAGTTCTTCCTCAAAAGCTAGAGCTGGGTTGGAGGGAGGTGAAGGTCTGGGGCTCACTTACAGTGAACTTGTAGAACTCACTGCGGAGTGATGCCATACAACCCAGGCTTGGTTTTTTTTTTGTTTTTTGTTTTTTTTTTTTTGCTATAGGGTGTGTGTACTTGCTGGAGAAAAAAGGAGAGAAAGTGAGAAAATATCCCTAGGTGATAGCCATACCACAACTCATTCTCCATTCTCCTCTTGGGATTTGGGCATAAACATATGGGCCCAGTGTGTTTCTCAAGCAGCCGGGTGTGGGACTTGATTTGTGGTCAGCCATGTGGGCAGTCACCTTACCGTACTTCATGCCATCTGCTGGCCCAACCCACAACCCACGCTTTATTTTTTTTCTTTTATTTAAAAACATTTTTAAAAGAATTACTTAATTTTATTTATCATCATCATTATTTTTAATTTGACCAGAGGAAGGGTGGAGGGGCCAGTAGGTAGCATGGTGGTTAGGGGCGTTGGACTCCCACATGGCTGACTGTGGTCTGAAATTGGACCTGGTGGCTTGCTTTCTCACTCTCTCTCTCTCTCCTTCTCTGGTGGTCAAAATAGAAAGAAAGAAAGAAAGAAAGAAAGAAAGAAAGAAAGAAAGAAAGAAAGAAAGAAAGAAAGAAAGAAAGAAAAAGAAAGAAAGAAAGAAAGAAAGAAAGAAAGAAAGAAAGAAAGAAAGGAGAGAAAGGAAGGAAGGAAGGAAGGAGGGAAGGAAGCAAGGAAGGAAGAAAGGAAGAAAGAAAAGAAAAGAAAAGAAAGCAAGGAAGGAAAGAGAGAGAGAGAGAAAGGAAATAAAGAAAGCTAAATAAAATAATTCTTTAAAAAAAAAAAAAGAAATGGGGGAAGAGTGAGAAAGCAAGCTGCCAGGTTCAGGATTCAAACCGCAGTTGGCCATTTGGGAGTCTAGTGCCTTAACCACCATACTGCCTGCCAGCCCCATTATTATTATTTTTGAAATCCGCTACAGGGAATGTGTGCTCACCCAAAAGAAAGAAAGCGAGAGCACAAGAGAGAGAGAGAGACAGCCACCAGTCTGGAACTGAACCACCGTCAGCCCTATGGGATTCTAGCATCTTGACCCCCATGCCACCGGCTGGCCCCAAGCCATGCTTTCTTAAACCTGAAGTGCAGACTAGGCTCGTAGTCTTCCTACCTTCCAGGTGAGGAGACAGAGGTTCAGAGTGAGGAGATGGCCGTTCTCAAGGTCATCTAGCTGAGAACAAACTCAGACCAGCCATCTTTCAGACCCAGTGGTCTTGCCCATACACTAGCACCACTCTAACCTACTGGATTTCTATTATGTTTAAACATTAATTAAAATTTAAAAAGTCCTAAAAATCAAATTTCCTAGAAAGTGCAAATTTCTAGTTTTTCTGGAAACCAAAAGGTTTGGCAGCATAAAGCTTATATCCTTGAAAGGTAATAATTGGCCCGAGGTCAGTGGAAACCACATCCTACAGGGTGGCGCTGGCTTTACAGCTCAACTGGGTCCCCACTGGCTCACACTGTCACCCAGCTGGTTTCACTCACACTACCTGCATGGTCCTGGTAGGCACTCGGATGGGACGCCTGCCAAATGCTGAGCTGTCTCTGCAGAGATGGAGTCACAGGGTGTCTTTCTCGAGGAACAAGCCCTGGTAATGAAGACTGAGACCCTTTTCTAGGCACCTGGTGCCAGGGATCGTCTCAGAAATGCATGATGCTGGTTCTGGCGAGGAGGGCAGCTCTCCAAACTGACCAGCAGATAGTGCCTGGGGCTGGGCCGAGCTAGCATGGAGGCAGGTCTCCTTTAGTGGAATATACTGTGGAGGCCCCGAGCCTGGTCCCTGGTCTTCTTCAGGGTGTGGGGAGCCCCTTCCAGGTGAGAGCAAAATGGGGGCAGACAGATGGAGTAAATACCCTCTCCATGCCCTCATTTTCTGATCTATAAAATATGGCTAATAGGGACCAGGACTAAAACCTCCAATCACGTTGGCCAATTTCTTACAATAGAACTCTCTCTCTCTCGCTCTCTCCCTTCCATTGGTGTTTTCTCTGGAGAACCCCGGATACAGTGGTGGCGCTGGGCTGTCACGCCTTACATACTCCTCTGCCCAGTCTGTGTGTCCAGGAAGGCCCAGCTCCAACTCGGACGGCAGGACGCAGCTCTGAAGAAGCCAGCCTTGTTGCTGCCAACTCGGCCATTACCCTCCCCCCCGCACC